GAATTTTAAAGTTTGATGCGTTGCCACGGCAACAGTATCAAAGATATCAAGAATCCATTCACAGGTCTTCATCTGCTATGTATTTACATTATACAGATTAAGTTTGAAGCACATCGGGTACAAATAAAAGGGTGAGTTCAAAGCATTTTGAAAGTGACACACTTCCTGCTACCAGTTGGTGGCACTATAACTTTGACTCACAATAGTCACATCCATGTGATCGTCCTCTTACAGCGAACACACTGCTGAAGTTTCATCAAGATCAGTTAATGTATGCTGAAGTTATAACACACTTCCTGTTTCACGTTTCTCGCCATAATTTCGTTTCCTCGCCATGGCCAAACCGTTCGAGATATCAAAAATCCCCTCGCAAACTTTCATCCTCAATGCCTTGACTTCATGCTGACCGAGTTTCGTGCCGTGTGTTTGAATTCTCTAGGAGTAGTACTTCAAATTCCATTGCGAGTGTTTTATGAACAACCCTAAATAACCGACTTCCTGTTGGCTGGGGTAAAAAGTAATAGTATGAGGTATATATGTACGATGAGATCTATATGTGCACCGAGTTTCATATTATTACATGCAAGCGTGTTTGATTTATGGACCAAGTTTTCGGACCCCGTTCCAGGGGGCGCTGTCTAGTCCCCTGCCACGCCCGGGTACCATCTTCAGCCCGGCCCTGATGGCCGCGGGTTCTGACCCGTGTGCTAAGTTTCAAGAGTTTTTGAGCATGTTAAGGGCCCCAAAAGTGCCCGAATAGTCGTATAAATAATAATAATAATAATAATAATAATAATAATAATCCTAAGGAAAACAATAGGGCCTTCGCCCTTTCAGGGCTTGGGCCCTAATTATAATAATAATAGTAAAGAAAAATAATCCCAAGGAAAACAATAGGGCCTTCGCCCTTTCAGGGCTTGGGCCCTAATTATAATAATAATAGTAAAGAAAATAATCCTTAGGAAAACAATAGGGCCTTCGCCCTTTCAGGGCTTGGGCCCTAATAATAATCGTTAGGAAAACAATAGGGCCTTCGCCTTTCAGGGCTTGGGCCCTAAAAACCAAAAAAAAAAAAAAAAAAAAGTAAAACCAAACATAACTAAATGACAGAACTTTAATTTTTCATCTCGTTACCCACTCAGGCAAAATACTTGAAACTATATTTTGTGTCAGATGCACTTTTATTGAGAGATGGCTATTGATTTGTACATAATGTGTGTAGTTGCTCGTGCTGCAATGAAATATGCTGTTTGTCACACATGTCTAAATATTACAGCTATTTCAAGACAATTTTTTTTTTTTTTTTTAAATAATTCAAAATAAATTTCCACAGCCAGTGTGAAACATTTATGGTCAGTTCACCCAAAGCAAAACATTTGGACCTTGCATAGCTCTTGTGTTTTTTAGCCGGTGTGTTCACAGAAACATTTCACTGTGTGTTTACTGCCCTCTGCTGGGAAACTCTGGAAGGGTGACGGGAGGGGAAAAAAAACAGATCCAAAAATCACAGGCTATTTTGTTATTAGAGGTTAGTTTCATTGAACTTGTCCAAATGTAACACTGTGTAAGGCTCTATGAGTCAGTCACACATGGCTTTCAGCCATTTCAGTTAGTTTCCTTTAAGGAAACATTTACACACGCAAACTAATTTGGTTCAGGAGGACCCATAGAAATCGCTGACCAAAATAAACACTCCGCAAGCACCGAATGAGAGACAAAAAGCTTTTGGCATGTTAGAAACAGTTACTCACCAGCTGGCTGCTAACTGTATTACTAAGGGCAGCATTATATGATTTAAGCAATCTGACCTCACTGATGTAGGAGCAGTCAGCAAATCAAATGAAAGGAATTTACTGAAGAAAACATCTGCTGCAACTCGCGCATCTTCGTTCCAACAACTTTTCCCTCGGTGGAAAGTTAACCAATAAGAGGTTCACTTCACTGTGATGACACTAATGGCGATTGCATGAAATGGAAATTGCAACCAGCTTTTCTTCTGTACTCTGATGTATACATCCAAGGGGGAGATTAGAGGAGGAATAAAATGTGAACGATTGATTAGATCATAGAAAGTGAGGCTGTAAAAGTAAATGGAATGAAATGTGGCGGTGAACGTCATTACAGAAAAGATGTCATAGTGGGGTGGGGGAGGGGCTGAAGCACATTAAGCCTAGTTCACACTACATGATTTTAAAATGTTGGGCTGAACTGTGCAGTTCACATTACATGACTTGCTCTCAGTGAAATCATGAGTGTTCAAGTTGTTTAGCTGTTCACACCACAGAACACAACGTGATTGATCCACAACAGGAGGTAACTCACTACACGAGTTAACAACGCACTGCATAGAGATACAACCACGATCGGATGATAAGAGCATATCATTTGTGACTAAATGAGAGCTGTTTCAGTACTATAGTACGGTCTAAATCCTGAAAATAATCAAACAAATAATGAGTTGACAACAACACGATTCTATCTGGTCTAGAAACCATGTTTTGTAACGAAAAACCACGCAATAAAACGAACCAGAAATGACGCGAAACTACAGAGAAGAACATAACACGCGAATATGGACGTCAGACAGAAACTAGTGCTGCACACTGTTTGCTCGACGATCTGCTCTGAGAAAAAAAATGCAAAAAAGAAAAAGTAAGATTTACCTGGTGTCCTCAACCCATGCGTTGCTATGATTGGCTGTACTCATGACATCACTGAGATTGAGTCGCGCGACTGCTCGAGATATCTAGCAGGCTAGATATTTTTCTGAGCTCGGTGACCTGTCTGCGAGCTGTCTGCGAGCTGTCTTTGATGCGTTGTTGGCTCTTTCACACTAACGGATTGGCGAGCGTTAATCGTCCGCTAATCGCCCGCGATTTGCACGCGATAACACCCTGACTTGTCGGCGACTCAACGATTTGCAAATCGGGCTTAAATCGGGCTTAAAATCACGTAGTGTGAACTAGGCTTTAATCATTTTGATTAAACATTTTGAAAAAAAAAAATTAAACAGAAATCACTTATAATATGAACAATAAGAAAGGCCAATGTTTATTCTACAGCTGTCCTATAATAGTCAACTTAAAGGGATACTCCACTTTTTTTGGAAATAGGCTCATTTTACAGCTCCCCCAGAGTTAAACAGTTGAGTTTGACCGTTTTCGAATCCATCCAGCCGATTTTCAGATATTTAAATGAATATCAGTAACCAGACAGTACTGATAGTCTTTTAAAAATCAGAAAATCGGCTGAATGGATTAGAAAACGGTCAAACTCAACTGTTTAACCCTGAGGGAGTTGAGCCTATTTCCCAAAAAAGTGGAGAATCCCTTTAAAGGGTAACTGATCCCCTGGTCAGATCCTAACTCCACCCACTGGCAATATTTGAAAAATGCTGAAAAAGTGGGCGGACCCCAGCGGAGATAGAGGGGACGAAATAGATGCTAAAACACTCTATCCTGATCGTTTTCAATACTCGCAATTCCAACTCCTGACTCGCTACAGTGGTTTTGACGAAACAAGCTGTTTTTTATACTGCCAAGGTCGTAGCTCGTGCCAAGAGCGTGGTGAGCTGAAACGTGCGTACGTCACGAAGAACCGCTAACATCCAACCTGAAGAGGGCAGCACTAAGACGTTTTTTTACACCATTTATTGTAGAAATAAAACACTTTATACACAAATGTCAAAAAAGTTACTCGAATCAATGACCGGTATTAATAAAGATCCATTCTTACAGATCATTAACTAAAAAAAGTTGGTTGAGGGTTTAGTTGCTCTTTAAACTTTAGTCGACTAGAAGAGGCTTAGGCCGTGTGTCCACCAAAGTGTTTTTAGCCAGCTGAAAACGCTAGACGCTCTGCTGAAGACGCCATGCTTTGGGCGCTTGAGAGCGTTTTGGCAGCGCAGCTTTTTTTTCCGTTGAGACGTTTCGTTGCTATGATACAGAATATCCACAGCAGTTTGAATGTTGTGACAGTTGGTCGGTGTGGTATTAGTCCCGCCCCTCCTCCACTGTGATTGGACGGCTGGGTAAAAAGTGACAGTGATGAGCGCGGCGTTTTATCCAAAGTTGAACATTTTTCAACTCCCAGCGACCAGTAAAAACGCTGGGCGATCGGCGCTTCAGCGTGAAAAAAAACGCTCAGCGCCTCGGTACGCTCATGGCGTTTAAAAAACGCGGCGCTCCCATTGAAAACAATTGAAAACATACGCCATGCGCGTGAAAAAACGCTTTGGTGGACACACAGCCTTAGTCGGAAAAAAAGTTATTAATTGTTTAGTCGCAAAAAAAAAAAAAAAAAAAAAAAGACTTGTGATGAATCGTGCAGTCCGTAGTGGACAGATTGTTAACGGTTGGTCCTCGTGGTAATTACAGTGTTGTGCAGGAAATACAAAGGTTCGGCTATCATCCATCAACCTCTATTATGGCTTATCATTAGAAACATGTAAGCAGTAGCAACTTTACTTGGCCGCTCGCTCTAATGTTAACCTAGATAAAAATTCGCTATTATTAGGAGCATATCCAAGTGTTTGTCCGGAGTGCGGAAGCTAAAGTATTAGCGTGTTAACAGCGTTATTGTATTAACAGCGATAAACACTGTCATTTTTGGTCATACAGAAGAGAGTAATACATCATTTGAAACTGTAATTTGTGTAAACTCACAATAACGTCAAAACGTTGTGATTCTGTAAAAATAAACATGATGCGCTTTCTGCCGTCTCAGTCTCCTTGAACTGGAGAACGTCACAAACATCAATCAAAACTCAGTGTACACTTGCCTCACACACGTGAGAAATATATCAAAAACAAATACTCTGCTTATGTAATCCGTACAAAAGAAATGCATTTCTTTCTAAAGGCACGTCCACTATACTACAGAGATGGCAGCATGGTCAACTTCATCTTTGCAGCCGACAATTTTTAAGTAAAATTGTCTAGTAAATTTCCCTAATTCACCGGCCACAGGCAGGAGTAGCAAAGTGTACGTTTTGGACTTACCTCAGGTTGAATGGCTTTGAACACTGGAGCATCCATAAGAGTGATCTGACCCTGCAGAAGAACACAGTAGATTATGTGTTAATCTATTATGTGTTTATTTGTTAATTAATGTGTTTACTTATTGATTTTATTTTTGATTTTTTTTCAGGTCAGTGTCTCCACATTGGAAATAGACCTTTGAAATGTTTTGCGCACGTATTTATTACAGCAGAGTTTCTGGATTTAATGGCTTATTTGAAACAAGACTTATTCCACGACTGTGTGAATACTCTACTACATGCTGTCTAACAGACACATGAATAAAAAATCATCTTTTGTCCAGTGCTCACTTGCCATTCACAAGACATTTTTCACGCTTGTATGAATGTCGTGTGTGTGGGATCACCGTGGAGAGTATGTGTGCATAAATAAAACACAGTGTCTTCAGTGCAGTCTTGAGACTGAGACTGGGATGATGTCCTGTATATAGGCTAATGGGCTGGGCCATCAATAAATAAAGCACAGAAAGAAACTCTGTACCCCAGATTCAGGCAAGCGTGTGCAGAATCAGGTCATCGCATTTACATCAGGTGTACTATGGCTCAAAAACACAGAGAGCGTCCCCTGGTGACATTGTGAGATAAATATCATTGGAAATTATGACACTGTTAACACCGTTAACATAAGCTTTGCTTATTTTGGACATGTACTTTTGCTTGTAGGTATAAATATTTATTTTATCTTAATTTGATATTGGGGATTTTTTGGGGGGAAATTTCAACATTATTTTTTAGTGCACCTCCCATCCAGCAGATGGCGCAGAATGAGTTGCAGCTCATGAGAGCCAAGCACACACACACACACACACACACTCTGTGACGTATTGGTTTTACAAGATGGATTGCTGTGCTCTAAATTCTGTAAAAATTATTGCCTCCCTTCAAAAATAAATCGTGTCGTGTGCAACTTTCTCCATTGTGTTATGTTTTCCTGCCCATCGACCTCTCAAATCGAATTAAAATCGAACTGAATCGAGAGCTTGCAAGTCAAAATTGAATCACATCAGTGATATACAGCCCTATTATTCAGTACTTTGACTTGTATTAAATTATGCCTTTTTTCACGTTAAGCGATTAGCCAATCATAACCGAGACCATTTACATATAGAAGTCTTAAAGGTACAGTAGCAAAAACAGTCAGTTTGATTTAATTCTTATGGTCATAAAGAAGGTGGTAATGATCATGAAAAACTTAATTATAAGTGTTTGTGGTTGAAGAAGCTTTGAGCAACATGGTAAATTGACTTCAGGGAGACATACAAAACATATCATTGCAGTATTAGAGCAAATATAAGTCAACAAGTGGCTGTGTATCTTTTCCCCAAGATCTTAAAAGAGTTAAGAGAGTTTAGTTTGAGTCCTTGAATTACCAGAGAGAGGAGAGTTTGATAGCGTCGCTCGGATTCAGGTGTTTAATTCAAACATTGTGGCCTGCAAGAATGTCTGCCAAATGACCATTAATCATTACTGAAACTGTGCTGAAGTCAGTTCAGTGCTCGTATCTCCACCTCCCCTTCATCTCTTTCTGGTTTCCATGCGTTTTTCTTGTAATCCTTTGGTTCTGTTTGTATCTGGTACCGGGACCACTGCTACAAATCACAGGGGACAGGGGAACATTTTTGTCTGGGATAAACTGAGTGATTGGATCAAAAATCGCATTTACCATTGTCCACTTGTGATTGGAAAGCCTAAAAATTCTAATTCACGATCAAAAAAGTTGAAATGAAAAATCATTATTTACCCTCCATGTCATTTCAAATTCTGTTTTTTCTTCCATTTTTAGGTAAAATTTTATTTTAACCAGGCTACTTGATTAAAACATTAAATCAAACCTGTTGTTTCCCCATTAAATATTACAATATAATAATAAACAAATTATTATTATTATTATTTAAAATAATATTTGTATAATTATTTAAATAATAATAAAAAAACAACTAAATATATTCCTATTGCAATAATGCTATCGTCTTTGTGTATAATAATAACTTTAGTTTAGAGAACAACAGTAAATTACCTATTATTTATGGCGATCTTAATTTCTTTGCTTTCAAACGTTAAATTAAAGAGCTTTTATTTTGGCAGAAATTGTTGACACCATTTAGAAATTATTCTTGTTACAAAATTGGGAATAATCTTGGCTCAAGCTCAATTTTTTTACCTCAGATTTACATGAATCATACTTTAGGTCATGTAAATATAAATATGGAACAAAAAAAATACAGTTTAATACTAGGTGTAATCTGGGAGAATGAAAAGTGAGACGAGTGTGACTTACAGCATATTCCTCTGGCGTGACCTTCAACACGTCGAAGACCACCGCGTCAAAGCTCTTGAGCTCAGATGGGCCCTTCTCACTGAGGGACTCTGAACTGCTGCTCCTCTGGAGGGATAAGGGAAAGAGATATGATGAAAGATATACAAATGAGCCAAAAAAATAGTTTTCTCATTAGATTACATATAAAACATGCAAGGTAAAGCAGGTAAATGTTATGCGTTTCATTGAGTGTGAGCTGACCTCTGAGGCCGGGGTCGTGAAGGTGGAGATGCTGGGCTGGCCATTGGGGATGTCCATTATTACCAAAGCATCAGACACTACGGCAAGAGCTCACTCACCATCGTCATCCTCATCAGCACGCCTGTATGGCCCCCTGCACACACAAACATGCAAGTTAAGGCCTGGATTGTGACTTAACGATTCATAAAACTGCAAGTATAATATATTGCATAAAAAGCCACTCAGTTCCACAGGCTCCATAAACCTACCCAAAACTATAATACTCTCAGTGCTTGGATAAGATTGTGTTGATGTATAGTTTTTCATTATCACCAAACATAACGTTTCTCATTTATGCCAGAAAGTTCCATTGTATCATTCATCAGCATCACACTCATCCAACATTTGTTTTTGTAACAACCGAGACAGGGCAGGCAGTAATGTACTTCTGGAAAATGCTCTTTTTCCTCCTAAATTATCTTTTTGGAAGGAATCTATACTTTCTCCTTGGCAGCATTTTCTACTGGATTCTGGTTTTGCAGCAGAAATGGGTTCCAATTAACAATACAATATAAGACAGTTAAGTGTTTTTATTATACTGACTTTATTATGATTTATGCATTAACAATTTTAAATTAATATATGCAGTAATTGTATTATTTCATTAAAATACCATTTACACTACAATTAAAAATGTGGGGTCAGTAAGATTTTTGGTGTTTTTGAAAGAAATCTTGTCCACCAAGACTACATTTATTTGATTAAAAATACAGTAAAAACAGGGCCCAGAAAACACCTCAGACCCCAGAGGGCTAACACAATGCCCCATTGGAAGAGTAGTGATGATGTTTGAACTAGTGATGCACCGATATTAACATTTTGGCCGATACCGATAACTCTTTCTATTTGAAAGCTGATAAGTGATATATTGGTTGATAAATCTAAATCCAAATTTTTATAGAATTCTTGAGCCTGTCACAAAAACAAAAAGTCTTACCATTAAAAGCCATGTCCCAAGCACACAATAATAATGTTCTCATTATAATTTCATTTAGCCTATATGACAGACTTGCGTTGCACATGTTGAACTTAACTGTATTTTTCCTTTTTTGAACAGAATCCCAATTATATTTCAACCAATTCATTTACATTTACATTTATTCATTTCATTGGACTTTGTAATTGTCAGTTTAGTTTGAACCTTTGTGATGAGGCATGAAGGGAAAGATCGTGTGGACTGATCCTGGGATACAGACCTCTAACACACTCGAATTAGTGCTAGTATTGATGGTAAAACTGACGCCACCGTTATGGTCTTTACAGTGTCTGAGGAAGCCTCCGGAGCTGAAGTTCAGTTATGGTAATGTGCGTGTCGTTTACATTAGGACTACGCGGTAGATCAATCATAACACACCGGGCCATCCCACCAATCAGAGCAGAGTAAGACACGGAAATCGTACGTTCACACCGCCGCCGGCGAGGGCGGCAAAATTCGCTCTTGCCGCTCTGTTAACGACGCCGTGGAAAGATTCGTGGATGCTCTGATTCGCCGTGCCGCTCTCGCCGGAGCTCGCCGCCGGCTCTCAATGAAAATGAATGACTTCTGGCCACTTTGACGCTCTCGCCGGTGGCGGTGTGAACGTACAGAAAGGAGGATTTAGAGAGACTGAATCTTCGGACGAGTCGCTTGAGAATCTTTGTAAAATGTGGTGATGAACTATTTATTATGAAAAAAAAGAAAGTGTTGTTTGACATTTGATGCAAGTAAACCTGTTGTAGCAGACCTTCAAAACAAAATTAGGAGCCTTTAAAATAGCATAATCTATATTTTCAAACCAGCCCCAACTATAAGCCTATTTTTTGCTGCTTTTAGTTCCAATCAAAATCAATTTATGTTCCAACAACCAAATATAAAAAGAGCTGTTGATTTACGTCACACTAGAATGATTAAACATGAACTATTAAAGAGACCTCATCTGACCTCAACATTGTGAGGTTGTGCGTGTGTTGTTAATCTAATGTTCTTGTGAAGCAATGTAACCGTACACCGCTTCCAAACAACAAGTGCTCAGAGACGTTGATAAACACTACAACTGCTGGCCTCACTATCAAAACACCAGTCACCATTTGGCTACACGTGAAACAAAATAAGCAGGTGTTCAGACCGTAATGGGACAATGACATACCCAATGTTTCAGAGTGAACAGGTGCTACGAAGCCATTAGTATGTGTGTGTCTGTGATTTAGGATTCTGTAAGTAACAGGTGTTGCCGAGAGTTTGTTCGGCTTTACGGCACTGCCAAACTGCAGACTAATCCTAAGCACAGCTCTAATTCACCCTTCACACACAAACACACCTATAACAGCAGCACAAATGCTTTCATTTGCCAAACAACAGTTTATATACTGGAACAGCACACAAACAAAGACCGAATTCAATTACCGTGTATTTGTCAAATGCACATGGTGATGGCTCTGCCGTGTCCTCCCCTGCACTCGATCGGCTGTATTCACTCCAAATCCTCAACAAAACCTGAAAGAAGGATAAAGAAAAAGAAAGAGAGAGAAAGAGAAGACACATTACCTCAAGAACATGTTTTATCCGATTTTTTTTTTTTTTTTAAATACAGTATGGGGTTGACTTTTACAAATGTTAACAAGGTTTTTTTTTTTTTTTTTTCATTTTAAGGTCACAAAACTATTTTGAAAACTTTTGACCATGACTTTGCTCATTTTCTGGTTATTTTTCAAGTGTTAACTGCAAATAATTTAATTAATAATTACACATTTAAAAAACTTTGACCTTCGAAACAAAGAATATAACAAAAAAATCAAAACTAATTCGATGTTTACTGTGTAAAAATTAGTATATTAATTTGTGACGTCATTTCCACAACAACCAGCACTGCACCCCCAGTGTAAAATTATCACTTAAGGGGGATAGTTCACCCAACAGTGACAATTCAGTCATCATTTACTCGGCATGTCGTTCCTTTCTTTTGTGAAAGACAAAAAAAGTTATTTTGAAGAATGTTGGCAACCATACCATAAACAACAGTTTTGACTTCCACTGCAGACATTTTTCTTCTTCTTCAAGTCACAAAGGTTTGGAATGGCATGAGAGAGAGTAAATACATTTTCAGTTTTGGGTTGAACTATTTCTTTAACTGAGTAAGCTATATTTAGGATCCATAAAATTCTAGGGTTACACTATAATTTAAGGTGACGTAGTTATACATTGTGCTTAAAGTGATACTCCATTTTTTTTTTTGGAAATAGGCTCATTTTACAACTCCCCCAGAGTTAAACAGTTTTACCAGAGTTCGAGTTTTACCGTTTTCGAATCCATTCAGCCGATTTTCTGATATTTAGAAGAATATCGGTAACCAGACAGTTTCTGGTCTCATTGACTTATTGACTTGAAAAATATACTATGGAAGTCAGTGAGACCAGAAACTGTCTGGTAACCGATATTCTTCTAAACATCAGAAGATCGCCTAAATGGATTCGAAAACGGTAAAACTCAACTGTTTAACTCTGAGGGAGTTGTAAAATGAGCCTATTTCCAAAAAAAGTGGAGTATCCCTTTAAGTCCTTAGCAATACTAATTAACTACATGTACTTAGTAGCCTTTAGAGTTGTAGGTAGGGTTAGTTTTAATTATGCCTAATTTACTGTTAGTACATTCACGTAGTAACGTTTGTCACCTTATAATAAAATAAACCACTAAATGAATGGTGATTTGAGATGTGGTGGAAATGACATTGGTTAAAAAGACCTTTAATGAATGTATAAATAAACCTTGTAGGACATTGTCTGTGAACAAATTAAACTAGTAATTTAGAGGGTGAAATTGGCAATATAGTTAAAGAAACACTTTGTACGTGACAAACCTAAAAGACAAACTGTGTGCATCAATGAGAAATTCACTAGGTGGTGCTGTACATGCGGTAAAGAGGATAGAAACAGCAGCAGCTGCGCGTGTTTGAGGAAATGGGCTGAAGTTTCAGAGAGGTCAGTGTCGGGTCATTAGAGAGGATTGTTCAGGACACTAATACAGACACCAGACGCCACCCACCACATGTCACGATGGGACGAGCCAGATGCAAAGCAGAACGCCAAGCTTTCTTTCCCTCGCGCACATGAAAATAAGCTTTCAAAACATCACATGGCTGAAGCCAGCAACACATTTACTGCATATTAAGGAGAACAAGCTTCCTCAGTCTATAGACTGAAGGCTGATCTGAAGCCATTCGCTCTGGCATGACACAAACATGCAAAAATGTGACGCGCTTAAACGGTTTAAGCCATCGATATCAAAAGAAATAACCCAAACACTGTCTCACCAGACCAGTAATTATTTATTTCCACAGAAAATAAATACTCAATGCTCAGCAAAAGCCATGATGTTACCATGGTAATAAGAGACTGACTCCACAGAAAGAAAAATGCTTCATAACGGCTTCATAAGTTACAGGCCTACACGAAACCGTCGCCCACAGAACACTGCACGAGTCAAACCGCAAAACATGGAAATATACATATCAATACTTAAAAATCCAACTTTCTGTTCATCAAATAATTCTGAAAAAGAGAATCCCCAGTTTCCACAAAAAACTGTTTTCAACATACTATTATTATCAGTTTATGATTATTATGTTTCTTGATCAGCATATTAGAATGATTTCAGATTTCAGAAGGAAATTCAAGAGGAGATGGATTCCAGATCAAAATAATTTCCATTTTTTAATCCACAAAATAGCCTCCATGTCACGCATACATAAATTTAATTTTCTGCATCTACGGTTTAAAGAAAATGTCTCCAACTATAGGGTCCCCCCAGTATATCCCAGCCATCTCCACCACTGACTTTCCCATGTTTAACTCGATTTTGAAAGGCAATTTGAAAGTGAAATCACACAGAAAACGAGCAATCCGCAACCATTTTCTGCTCTGAAACCTTCTGCAGTTTTGGTTTGAAACATTGTAAAAAAAAAAGGGGGCACTGAGAGAACAATGCTAGTATTAGTAGCTAGCGGACAGCCTAATCCAATGTGCTCAAATATTTAATAAACGCAAGGATTTGTGGGATTAAGTGACCGGTGAATATGCTGACCTTTCTGCAGAGAAATATAACCTTGTCTGGATGGCTGAGCGCCAGTTAAAACTACCGATAAAAGCCATGTACAGTTTTTTCATGACTGACAATGAATTCAGTGATGTCATGCTCAACTGACGGTAAAGATTGTGGATGTTTGTAACCACTGTGCACGTCAGAAGGGCAACACAAATCACCTTCACATGCGTCTCTCACGAGGGAATGTGGGGTTGAGCGTGATGGTGTGACGGGGGTGATTAATGTGCGAGATGTCGGAGGGTTGTTGAAGAAGATCGTGGAGAGACGCTCGGAGGCTGAATGAAAGGAGCGAGGGATAGATAAGGATGAGAAAGAGCGTGGGAGGTGTCGCTGTCTTGTTTCAACCTGCCTGGGAAACAGTGCAACAGGGAACAGACACTCCGAGCCTGAAGGAATGAGTTCAAGTGGTTGATCTACTCAGATTTTCCCACCATCACTTTACAATTGTTAATGGCCGATAAATGAATATTTAAAAAATAAAATAAAAACGGACGAAACACCCTTCAATCATCTCTCCTTGGTCTGTTATATTGAAAATGTATGTTTTACAATTTGCAGTATGATGTTATCTATTGATAAATTATGGCTCATCATAGACTAGCTAACCACAAAGCTAGCTAATGCCACTATCATCAGTGGAAGACCGCTAACGTTAACATTAATGAGCTTGGAAACAACAATGAACTTTTTCTGCCTAAATAAAGTAATGATTACTGTATTTATAACTAGCATATCTCTAGTAGTTACAGTCCCTGCATTGTAAATAGGGTTGGGTATCGTTTGAATTTGAACGATTCTGATTCCGATTCCTTGTTTCGATTCCGGTTCCTAATGATCCTCGATTCCGGTTCTTTTAAGAGGCAGGGTCAAAAAAGTTTAGCTAACCTTGCTAACCAACGGCCTTTCTGAAGGAAATAATCCTTTCTGAAGGAAATACTCCTTCTGTAAAAATACTCCTTTTGTCACAAATTTTGCATTTTGCCGAGATTTCGTTATTTTTAGAAAAGTGAAGCCACACTTTGGATCGCTGACGTAAGGTACTCATGTTCGACTCGCGTGGTTATGCCAACACTTCCGGTAGACGCTTCTTCGTTGGTGTTGTTCAGCGGTTTCTTCTTCCGCTCGTCAAACTGTGAATATCGAAACTAGGAATCGAAATTTTAACTTTTGAACGATTCCGGGAAAAACTAAAAGTTAGTCTCGGTTCTAATCGATACTCGATTCTCGATACCCAACCCTAATTGTAAAATACTTGCGAGGAGTGAACATTTAGACATAGAGAAAAAGTATCAAATGTATCTTGTTCATTAAAGTTAGCTTTTCTTTTACATGTGTGAAATCCAACAATATTTAAAAATATTGGCCGATATATCGGATTTTAAAACCCCAAAATATTTGTATCGGTATCAAAATCCAAATCCTTTATCGGTCAGGCATACTCAAAATGCTTACAGTATGCTGGTGATACTGTAATTACTGTAACTATCAATTGCTCTTCACCTGTTACATGATTGGCTGAAAAAGAACCACCTGATAATCAATGTAAAGAAAACAGAATTTATGTATTTTCATTCACCCAGAAAAAGTATTTCTTTTACTGACTTTATTACTTTTGAAAACCAAGATCTTGTCGTCACTAAGATACCTTGGTGTGCTACTTGATTCACACCTTACATTCCGAGAACACATTTCTAAATTAACAAAAAAAGTTGAATCAGAAACTCTGTGTATAATAAGATTAGATCATATCTATTTCGTTTTCTGAAACCAACCTACATGCCATTGTGTTCTCATCAATGTCCTACAGTCTTCCAATCTGGTCTCTTACCACTAAGGACAGTACTGAACCAATGGCATGACTATATTATATCGAGCAGAGCACACAATGATAATCTTCCAGAGTGGTCTCATCATTGTAGTGCGTTGCATTCACACGCACAAATGCCCTGACTTATCAGAACTACGTAAACAGGTCTTCTTTCGGCATACAATATGAGACCACTACGCTTCACTAGATCAGTTTCACGACCATATAAAAACAATTCTGTATTTACCATAAACTATTCCCTATCACATTCGAACATTATAATCCATCACACATTTCAAAAAGTCATATCAACTCTTTCTTCTTGATAGTCGTACCTGATTGATCGTGTATTGTTTTGAGTCTTGTTCTTTTGTATTTAATGTTTTTCTCGTTTGTATCCGTTTAGTCAATAATAATGCCCAGATGTGTTGAAATGTTCTACATTGTTTTATTGCTCCACAGGCCAATTTATTGTAACTTAATTGTTGCTTTTAATTTTTCCTGTGTAATAAATGAAATGAATTGATTAGCAGTGGTGTGACAAAACAGATGTGGGAATTGTATGCTGCTGCTACTTCCAATACAATGA